TTTTTTTTTTTTTTTTTTTTTTTTTTTTTGAAATGAAAAAGGATTGACTCTGATCAAGGCGCGACATTTGAACGAAATTTTGAAAGACAATTAGTCAAGATCTTGTGAAAATATCACAAGCTAATTTAAATAGTGATCGGTTGGTACAATTTTATTGTGCTAATTACAACGTAAAAGATTTTATAATAATAGTAAATCCAAGAAGTTTTCGTACGCTCGATTATTAAAAATTGTCGATATTTTAAACACTTATTAAGTTGGAAGGAAAAAATCGTACAATAAATTTTAAGGGATCGTTGTGAATAATAAACTTCAATCTTCAAGTGTCTATAACGTTCGGAATTTCCAAAAGAAAAAAGTATGTTTACTAATCTCTTTACAAAATGATGTGAGAACAGATTTGAAAGAAACAAACATAAAATTAACTTGATTTATATTATTTTCTGCTTCAGCAATCTCAACCTTTAAATAGTATCACGGAGTCATGGATAACTATAATTCTTCATGTTGCAAACCACATTTAAATCGTTTAATTTTATTTAGTATTTTTTCCGATAGAAATTAATAATAAAATTCAATTAAATAAATCAAAATTGGAACGCGAATTTTTATGGCTTCGTATATCCAATTATACTAGTTGAATATTAAAAATCTCCTAAAACATCTCTGTTTTAAATGAATATTTTGCAGTTTCAATAATACTGGGGAAAAAAAGAAAGAGAAAATATCGGAGGAAATTCGTAAAAATAGTTTGATAGAAGTTAGGGGAATGAAAGTGCAACACTTGCCTGCGTGAAAATCATGGGAATACCAAGGAGGAATGACACCACCCAAGTTGTAATTACTATTTTCCGAGCTTGACTTATCGTACACGTGTACTGCGCCCGCATTGGATGAACTATAGCGTAATACCTGAAACACGAACAGAATTTTAATTAATTTGGCAATGTCCAATAATAACATCAGCGTAATATAAAACAGTCGTGGTGGCTTCAGTTTCGTGAATTTACGTAAACGAAATAAAAATTATCCGCATTTTAAAGTACCTAAATTTCTGATTGGTTGTCGAGATAAACAATACAAAAATAAAGATAAAAATAATTGATTACGATTAAATGAAGATAAAAATAATAAATGTGACGTAAATTTAAAGGAAAAGAAAACATCTTTTACGCATAAAATGACTGTCTTTCAGTTTATACTTTCGGCTTTAGCAATCTAAAAAATCTCATTCCCGATAGAATATTTTGCAATATTATATTATTGTATCACTATACTTCAACCAAATCTATGAAAATATCCTCTTCAATGAATTTATCCCATCTATATGACAGTCTAACATGACTTGTATTAAATTTTTCAATTCAATATGTATATATATTTTTTAGAAAAATATATATTAAATTTTATACGAAATTGAAATAAATATTAAATTTTATTCAGTAAAAGCAACGGGCTATTACTACGTTGATTAACATCATTTTCAAGAAAAAAGTATGTACTTTACACCAGAAGTATGTACCTCAACCATACAATTTTGTTATATCTTCTTTCAGTCCCAGACAAACACACATGCGAATTAAAATGAATTTTCTTTCAATTTGTGCATAAGATGTTCTTTAGTGAAAATTCTAATGGTTGATAACTTTAGTAGCATTCTTAATAAACAGTTTGCACGTAAAACACATAATCTATCTTGTTTTATTTGTCTAACATTTCACGTTCAATATTTTCGCAGTAAAAATGTGTTGCAGCATTTGCTTTGAATATATGAGCATTCGAATATCGAATATCGAATATTGATAAAGCAATGCAAGCGGATTTTTTTCCAAACCGATATACTATCTCACCTGT